GAGTTGTTTCATTGTTATAAAATAAAGTTAATTCGAAAAACACCACGGATGTATCACCTATGTACATGTGTTTTGCACGGTTTCCTACGTGTCACCTATGTACATGTGTTTTGCACGGTTTCCAACGTGTCACCTGTGTACAGGTGTTTTGCACGGTTTCCTACGTGTCACCTATGTACATGTGTTTTGCACGGTTTCCTACGTGTCACCTATGTACATGTGNGGTCACCTATGTACATGTGTTTTGCATGGTTTCCTGGGTGGGATGTCATGCTGAAGTGAGACAGCAATGTTAGCACTATATCTCACCATGTGGTCACCAGGTATGAAATCGGGTCGGGGTGAGAAGTCGTGGCGTAACACCACATGTCTTGTAATCGTTATTAACTGTTCTTCTGTCATAACATATTGTTTAACTTTATTTGCATCTGAGTTGTCATTGTCACAGACTTTATCTATAATATTTAAGAAATAATCAACGTATGGACGGAGTTTTCATTTTCAGTCATTGAGGTCGCAAACGTGGTAAAAGTTCGTATCTACCTCAGTGCCCATGCGCCTTTGATAAGCGATGTGACCTAGATATATTTCAGTTATTTAAAGTAGTCTTTTTTTGAGCGCTGACATTTGTAACACGAGGACTACGTTGCCGCCTTCATTTCACAACAAGCTGTTTTTTTTATCATTTCTGACCCTGTTGGCAGATTTCCTATTTTGTCTATTCAACCATTATATATTTGGGAAGGACTTTTCATTTTCAGTCTCCATGAAGTCGACAGACGATAAACAATTAACATTGACGTCAGGTTTAATACCAGATATTTATTTTAATCAATCAAATCCATCAATCTATCGACATCGATCATCAACACATAACATCAGCCTTTAACAGATTTACAAACACTATTTCTAGTCACCTTTGCGGTAATGACTAAAAGCGCTTGACAGGTTTAAAGTAGATCTAGGACCTAGAGGTTAAATAGATTGTTTGTTAACTAGCAAATCTCCAAATACATTTTAATTAAATGCGGGTACCTAAGCTCATTCTACAAATGACACCAGTAATAAAAGGTAACAGGTTAACACTGGTTTCTGTCTCCATTTATGTTCAATCATGTATTACATACGTCATGTGAATTAAACAAGATTTAAACTAATTGAGAGAACAACCATTTGTCCATGGAGTATCAGAGTTATCCAACGTAACAATTATGATGTCATAAAATGATGTCGAAAAAAATCTGGTCATGGCATTCAAAGCCTTATGAATGTCATCTGCGTGTGGTATGGTATAAAGTGCCAATGCAATAAGATGGTAAATATATTTGTATAAACTGGAGTTTTGAGTCCGAAATCTGTGAATAGACATCGCCCCAGACAGAGTAGAAAGGGTATTATTCTCTATTACGAGGCATCCATGTTAATTCAGAATCTGAGCGCGACCATAATTATTCATACAACCCATTCGGAAACCATCGGCATTTCTCGTAGAAGGAATTTTCTCGTTCGGAAAGTTCCGACGACCCCCAATTGAATTCAACCTTATGTCAGCGGACAACCAAAAGCTTCATGGTTAACACAAGAAAACAATGTTTATGCAAATGAAAATAACAAAGAAACAACATATATTTCAATGGCGTTTTATAATTATTTATTCACTTTAGGTAACAAATAAATGTGTGGTGTAACCTAAAATGGGCATGATCAAAATCAAGGTTGGCGAGGCGATTTGCTCCTACGTATTTGACTTGTTCTTGCACTGCTGTTGGCCGCCCTGTTGACCGCTCTCTTGGTGATGTTCCGTTGTGCAATCGCGCGGAGTTCCTCGTGGGTCAAAGGTCGAATATCCACTTCATCTTGGCCACAAATTATATCTGACACGTCATCGTCATCTCTGTAAATAGAATTGACACAGGAACCTTCCGTCATTAACAGAGAATTTTTTTTTTATTTAAATCACTCTACTAGGAAAATTCATGTATATCAATTTATATCATACCTTCGAGCTTATTTTCGTAGTTACACATAGTGAGATTTCATATTCTGACTTTGTAAAAAAACATGTCAAAATATTCACCCACTCTTGAAACATAAAATTGCTATTATTCATCAAGAATCCAAGATTATTCTGTTTATTACGTTTTTACCCGGGAACATAAATTCCACCTAAAATACGTGACGTCATAATTGACAGCGGTCGTTGTTTGCTACTGAAGGCGCCCGACCCGGCTTCTCTCACTGTTCTCAGCGAAGTAATGAATCGGTATTTGTGACAGTAGAAGAAAACATGATATTCTGTTTAGATTTTAAAGTGTATTTCAATGGTGAAAATACAGTAATTATTTCTGGCTTATTTAAGATAATTTCACAGTGTGAAGTAACGTCATTTTGCCGACGTCACAATATATTGTGACTGATACCGGTATTATGACATGACATTTAATGCCGTTTAAAGAAAATCCATTTTCCGCCTTACACATTGGTAATAAGTTCCACCAGATGTTCATCTATGGACAGTTATATAAAGCCAGTGTGGTGTCAGTAGTTGCACTGGTAGGGTACTTACGCTGAGGCGGAGTCTGTATAGATGTGGTGTCAGTAGTTGGACTGGTAGGGTACTTACGCGGAGGCCGGAGTCTGTATAGATATGGTGTCAGTAGTTGGACTGGTAGGGTACTTACGCTGAGGCCGGAGTCTGTATAGATGTGGTGTCAGTAGTTGGACTGGTAGGGTACTTACGCTGAGGCCGGAGTCTGTATAGATGTGGTGTCAGTAGTTGGACTGGTAGGGTACTTACGCTGAGGCCGGAGTCTGTATAGATATCGGAGGAGGTATATCTGTACGTATGAACTGTGTTATTGGCGGAGCTTCCTGACCCTTCTTGTCCTTCTTTTCCGGTTTCGGCGGGTTTCGCTTTAGCAGAAAAAATACATGATCGAAATAAATATTTAATTCAAACGATGTTTGGTATCGTAAATAAGTGCTTTATATTGGCCGGTATACTGTTAAATGGTTGCATTTAGTTCAGTATACTAAAGCTAAACTATAAATAAAAACCACATGTAGACTGATACCCCGGTCAACACTTTCTCAGCTAACCAGAGTCTACAGTGATCATCTTGAATTTCGTGTCATCCCCCACAAACTATCAACAGAGTCGACCCAATAAAAAATGATAATGTGTTGTCAAGTATGTCACCAAAATATCACTCTCAATATAACCCAAGGCAGTGTAAGAGTTTGACACGTGGTAGAATTATACCTCATATATTTGATAGCCTGTCTGATAGGAATATATTGATCACATGCCATTTCCCTAGTCATCATTCCCTTATTCCGATCATCTCCGGAAAAGTGTGCAAGAGCCCCTAAATTCTCAGTTCCGAGTGACCGAAGCGGACGACAACAGTACAAGTGACACTTCAGCTTGATCGTCATATCTGTTATGTTATTGTTTTATTTCGGTTTGTTCCAGACAAACACACTGCTTGACCTGAGGTAGTATTGAGATTTAACCCGGGGAGGTTTTAGAATTTGACACGGGACTAGTGTTGGTTGAGGTACTGTTGTGTTTGTGACCAGTGACTACCTTGAGGTGGGGGTACTGTTGTATTTGGGACGAGTGACTACCTTGAGGTGGAGGTACTGTTGTATTTGGGACCAGTGACTACCTTGAGGTGGAGGTACTGTTGTATTTGGGACGAGTGACTACCTTGAGGTGGAGGTAGTGTTGTGTTTGTGACCAGTGACTACCTTGACGTGGAGGTACTGTTGTATTTGTAACCAGTGACTACCTTGAGGTGGAGGTACGGTTGTATTTGGGACCAGTGACTACCTTGAGGTTGAGGTACTGTTGTGTTTGTGACCAGTGACTACCTTGAGGTGTAGGTACTGTTGTATTTGGGACCAGTGACTACCTTGATGTGGAGGTACTGTTGTATTTGGGACCAGTGACTACCTTGAGGTGGAGGTACTGTTGTATTTGGGACTAGTGACTACCTTGAGGTGGAGGTGCTGTTGTATTTGGGACCAGTCACTACCTTGAGGTGGAGGTACTGTTGTATTTGGGACCAGTGACTACCTTGAAGTAAAGGTACCGTTGTATGATATGCCCTTTGTGGGACCTGTGACTTCCTTGAGGTGAAGGTACTGTTGCATTTGCTTGAGGTGGAGGTACTGTTGTGGTTGGTACCAGTGACTACCTTGAGGCCAGTCACTACCTTGAGGTGGAGGAACTGTTGTATTTGGGACCATTGACTACCTTGAGGTGGAGTGGCTGTTGTATTTGGGACCAGGCACTACCTTGAGGTGGAGGTACGGTTGTGGTTGGGACCAGTGACTACCTTGAGATGGAGGTACTGTTGTATTTTTGAGTTTGACCTGAGGGTAGTATAATAATAAGTCCCTTGGTGGGACCAGTGACTACCTTGAAGTGGAGGTACGTTTGACCTGAGGGTAGTAAAATGATATAGCCCGGGGTTGGACCATTGACTACCTTGAGGAGGAGGTACTGTTGTATTTGTGTGTTTGACCTGAGGGTAGTAAAATGATATAGCCCGGGGTTGGACCATTGACTACCTTGAGGAGGAGGTACTGTTGTATTTGTGTGTTTGACCTGAGGGTAGTAAAATGATATAGCCCGGGGTTGGACCAGTGACTACCTTGATGTGAAGGTACTGTTGTATTTGTGTGTTTGACCTGAGGGTAGTATCATGATATGGCCCGTGGTGGGACCACTGACTACCTTGGGGTGGGGGTACTGTTGTATTTGTGACCATTGACTACCTTGAGGTGGAGGGGCTGTTGTATTTGGGACCAATCACTACCTTGAGGTGGAGGTTCTGTTGTGGTTGGGTCCAGTGACTACCTTGAGGTTGAGGTACTGTTGTATTTGTGAGGTTGACCTGAGGGTAGTATACTGATATAGCCCGGGGTTGGACCAGTGAAGGTGGAGGTGCTGTTGTATTTGGGACTAGTGTCTACCTTGAGGTGGAGGTGCTGTTGTATTTGGGACCAGGCACTACCTTGAGGTGGAGGAACTGTTGTATTTGGGACCATTGACTACCTTGAGGAGGAGGTACTGTTGTATTTGTGAGTTTGAACTGAGGGTAGTATAATGATATAGCCCGGAGTTGGACCAGTGACTACCATGAGGTGGAGGTACTTGAGGTACTGTTGTGTTTGTGACCAGTGACTACCTTGAGCTGGAGGGACTGTTGTATTTGTGAGTTTGGCCTGAGGGTAGTAAAATGATATAGCCCGGGGTTGGACCAGTGAAGGTGGAGGTGCTGTTGTATTTGGGACCAATCACTACCTTGAGGTGGAGGTGCTGTTGTGGTTGGGACCAGTGACTACCTTGAGCTGGAGGGACTGTTGTATTTGTGAGTTTGGCCTGAGGGTAGTAAAATGATATAGCCCGGGGTTGGACCAGTGACTACCTTGATGTTGAGGTACTGTTGTGTTTGTGACCAGTGACTACCTTGAGCTGGAGGTACTGTTGTATTTGGGACCAGTGACTACCTTGAGGTGGAGGTACTGTTATATTTGTGAGTTTTACCTGGGGGTAATATATTGATATGGCCAGGGGTGGGCCCAATGACTACCTTGAGGTGGAGGTACTGTTGTGGTTGGGACCAGTGACTACCTTGAGGTGGAGGTACTGTTGTATTTGTGAGTTTGACCTGAGGGTAGTATAATGATATAGCCCGGAGTTGGACCAGTGACTACCATGAGGTGGAGGTACTGTTGTATTTGTGAGTTTGACCTGAGGGTAGTAAAATGATATAGCCCGGGGTTGGACCATTGACTACCTTGAGGTGGAGGTACTGTTGTATTTGGGACCAGTGACTACCTTGAGGTTGAGGGACTGTTGTGTTTGTGACCAGTGACTACCTTGAGGTGGAGGTACTGTTGTGTTTGTGAGTTTGACCTGAGGGTAGTATAATGATATAGCCCGGAGTTGGACCAGTGACTACCTATCCGGGGGATATGCCCTTTGTGGGACCTGTGACTTCCTTGAGGTGGAGGTACTGTTGTATTTGTGAGTTTGACCTGGGGGTAATATAATGATATGGGCGGGGGTGGGACCAGTGGCTACCTTTAGGTGAATGTACTGTTGTATTGGTGAGTTTGACCTGAGGGTAGGTTACTGATATAACCCGGGGTTGGACCAGTGACTACCTTGAAGTGGAGGTACTGTTGTATCTGGGACCAGTGACTACCTATCCGGGGGATATGCCCTTTATGGGACCTGTGACTTCCTTGAGGTGGAGGGACTGTTGTATTTGTGAGTTTGACCTGAATTTGTGAATTTGACCTGAGGGGAGTATATTTATATTGCCCGGGGTGGGACCAGTGACTAACTGCAGGTGGAGGTACTGTTGTATTTGTTAGTTTGACCTGCGGGTAGTATAATGATATGCCCTTGGTGGGACCAGTGACTTCCTTGAGGTGGAGGTACTGTTGTATTTGTGAATTTGACCTGAGGGGAGTATATTTATATTGCCCGGGGTGGGACCAGTGACTTCCTGAAGGTGGAGGTACTGTTGTATTCGTTAGTTTGACCTGAGGGTAGTATAATGATGTTGTGGTTGGGACCAGTGACTACCTTGAGGTGGAGGTACTGTTGTATTTGTGAATTTGACCTGAGGGGAGTATATTTATATTGCCCGGGGTGGGACCAGTGACTTCCTGAAGGTGGAGGTACTGTTGTATTCGTCAGTTTGACCTGAGGGTAGTATAATGATGTTGTGGTTGGGACCAGTGACTACCTTGAGGTGGAGGTACTGGTTGTATTGGTGAGTTTGACCTGAGGGTAGGTTACTGGTACTGTTGTATTTGTGAGTTTGACCGGGGGGTAATATAATGATAGGGGCGGGGGTGGGACCAGTGGCTACCTTTAGGGGAATGTACTGTTGTATTGGTGAGTTTGACCTGAGGATAGGTTACTGATATAACCCGGGGTTGGACCAGTGACTACCTTGAAGTGGAGGTACTGTTGTATCTGGGACCAGTGACTACCTATCCGGGGGATATGCCCTTTATGGGACCTGTGACTTCCTTGAGGTGGAGGTACTGTTGTATTTGTGGGTTTGACCTGAGGGTAGTATACTGATATAGCCTGGGGTTGGACCACTGAGGGTAGTATAATGATATGCCCTTGGTGGGACCAGTGACTTCCTTGAGGTGGAGGTACTGTTGTATTTGTGAATTTGACCTGAGGGGAGTATAATTGTGACTACCTTGAGGTGGAGGTACTGTTGTATTTGTGAATTTGACCTGAGGGTAGTATACTGATATAGCCCGGGGGGGGACCAGTGACTACCTTGAGGTGGAGGTACTGTTGTATTTGTGAATTTGACCTGAGGGGAGTATAATTATATTGCCCGGGGTGGGACCAGTGACTACCTGAAGGTGGAGGTACTGTTGTATTCGTTAGTTTGACCTGAGGGTAGTATAATGATATGCCCCTGGTGGGACCAGTGACTACCTTGAGGTGGAGGTACTGTTGTGGTTGGGACCAGTGACTACCTTGAGGTGGAGGTACTGTTGTATTTGTGAGTTTGACATGAGGGTATTTTAATGATATGGTCGGGGTAGGGACCAGTGACTACCTTGAAGTAAAGGTACCGTTGTATCTGGGAACAGTGACTACCTATCCGGGGGATATGCCCTTTGTGGGACCTGTGACTTCCTTGAGGTGAAGGTACTGTTGCATTTGTGAGTTTGAACTGAGGGTAGTATAATAATAAGGCCCTTGGTGGGACAAGTGACTACCTTGAGGTGGAGGTACGGTTGTATTTGTGAGTTTGACCTGAGGGTAGTATACTGATATAGCCCGGGGTTGGACCAGTGACTACCTTGAGGGGGAGGGACTGTTGTATTTGGGAGTTTGACTTGAGGGTAGTATAATG